GAGACCACTGATAAGGCTAGGCTTGAGCCTGGGGAGAAGCCACAAGATTCCAGGGATTGCCTTTCTAGTTCTCTCCATGGCCCTGGATGTGGAATGGAGTCTGACATTATAATGCTGCTGACCTAGGCCTGGCTCTCACTCTCTGAGAAACTCAGCTGATAGGGCCTGTGTACTTTTTCTGACAAGTGAATACTTTCCCCAGCCAAATCATTTAGGAAATGCCATTGCTGGAGCTGCTGGTCTTTGCTGGTGGCTCCCAGAGCTCTTGCCTCTGCTTTGTAGGCTCCCTGGAGCCATACCAGCCCACTGGGGAATCTGTGCCCTACTGGTGGTACCCCAAATCGGCTGAGCCCTCTGGGGAGATAGGGCCAGGAGCACTCTACTACTAGAGAAGTGGTTCCATACTGGTGGACAGAGCTGTCATAGTGCCTGTGGCCCATCAGGATACATTCCCTTGGGCTCCAGGTATGATCGAAGCCTGTGGGTCTGGACCAGACTCCTTTTTTTTTTTTTTTTTTTTTTTTAAGACCAGACTCCTTTAGCTGCAGTGGCCCTCGCTTTGCCACATGCTTATCTGACTTTAGCTCAGATGGGAATTTAACTTCCCAGTGAGAGGTTAATTTTGGGCTGTTTCCCCTGGCAGCTCCTGTTGCCATCTCTTTTGTTTGGAATTGGGGTGCCCCCCTTTGGTGGCAGGTTCCCTCACCCAGGTGAGGTGAGTAGGCACTTTCCATCCTGAGCCCCAGTTGATTTCCCCAATTCTATACATTTGCTTGATTTCTCATCTCAGCCTATGCACCTGGCACTGGGGCCTCCATCCATAACTGTCTTCTTGGCCTGTCCAGGCTCTGAACAGCTTTAAAGTACAATGAAGAGGAATCCTGGGTTTGGGAGGACCTTGCGTTAGTGACAGAGGAAGCTGCCTTTGGGGATGTGCTTAGGTGGGCTGGCCTGAGGCTCAGGACCGTCCCCAGAGATAGGCCAAGTCCCAACCTGGTCATGGCCATGCAGTCGGCTGTGGAAAGGTGCCTGGCTTGCTCCCAGTCAGGCCAGGAAACCGTCATGATTTTGTTCTCCATTTTTCTTTAATAGCGTGTTCTTTCCATGTGGTTTTCTTGCCCTGTCCCCCCAACCCCTCCAGTTGCTCGTATTCTCCCATAGACGGTGGGAGTGAGAGCAATAATGGGGACTCAGATTTCCTGCACACTGCTGGGCTGTGGGCCCAGTGCCATGCCTGTACTAACTCATGCGCATCCTCCTGTGGTGACTGCCCTGCTATCGTCCTTGAACACGGGGGGCTCAGAGAGGTGGTACTGGGCCTCTCAGGGATGGTGACCATCAGTCAAGCATTGTTCAAAGGAGTAGGATGTCAGCCTTCACAGGTTAATGGGGTGCACTGGTTTGGACCTGGTAGAGGCCTTGGACAGTGCCTACCAGAAACCAGGTCACAGCAGGTTTGGGGCTTTGGCTGGGAGTTTTCCAGCTGGAAACATGTGGCACAAATGTGCCTGACACAGGCTTCTCTTCCAGCTCTGGACAGAACCATGGGACTGATATTTAAGGACGACTTGATTATATCATCACTGGAGCCCAGCTGTGGTTCTACAGATATGTTTCTGTCTTTTAAGATTATTTTTAAAAATGTTTTTATTTCCTCTGGCCAGTATAATTTTTCATGGGGCTTTACTCTTTGATCTGAACTGGAAAAAATGTTCCCGTTTTAAGACCTCTTAAAACATGTCTTTGGATTTATTGTCTGTACAAATGGAAATTCAGATAATAGTTCTGTTCATAAGTGAGGAAAAACAGGAAAAGAAAATAAATTTCTCGCTACTAAACACGGTGAAGCATATGCTGTATATCCTGGCAACAGAAATTCAAGGTCGGAAATAATTCCTTTCCTCATGAGTCTGCCTTCAGCTTCTCAGAGGAGTGCAGCCGCTGAAATTTGCCACTAATTGTAGCCATAATTTTAGCATGCAATTAAACACATGATTTCCTTCCCAGCTGATGTCTTTTTAGCTAGTCTGACATGGATAAAACAAAAGCTCTGTAGATTTGAATGGCCACTTTAATTTGATAGAAGTTGAAGGAAAGTCACCATTGTTTGAGCATGCTTGGCTACGCACTTGGAACTAGGTTAATCTTGCCTGTAAAAATGACGAACAGCATGGGTTCTTCTCATATAGTTTCTAGAGCTGCTGTCTGAGCATTGAAGAGAAGCGGCCTAAGACCCTCCACAAGGTTAAGGAGGTTGGAGGGACTGATACCAGGGGGAGGAACCAGAGATGGAAGTTGTGTGGTCGTGGTGGCAGAAGCCGTGGTTCATGGAGGTCACCTCATGCTGCAGTGGGTCTGGTGTCTGAGCAGAGCTGCTCTCCAGGGAGGGAACCAGTAAGGCCCCAGGCTGGCTTGCTCTGGGCTAGTGTGTCCATTTGATGCTTTTCTTTTCCTCAGCTTCTCTCAGAGAGTCATCTGCTCTGTAAAGGATGTTTTGTGTGAAATTAGGGCTCCTTGCCCAGGGGAGTTTGGGAACTACCAGGGTAAAGAAACTAAATAGGTTTCTCTACTCAAGGAGGTCTTGAGAGCCTGTTATATGCTGCTGTGCTTTGCGATTCTCTGAGGGAGAGTTCAAACAAATGTGGTTTTCCAGAAGTATGTGACTTTATTTTTCTTTATTCAAGGAATACCCTGCAGGGCACAGTGTGGGAAGCACAATTCTGGTTGTGTGGAGCCTCTCAAGCATGACCTCCTTTTTTTTTTTTTTTTAACATTTTATTTATTTATGTGAGAGAGAGGGAGAAAGCACAAGCAGGAGGAGTAGCAGGCAGAGTCAGAGGGAGAAGCAGGTTCCCTGCTGAGCAGGCAATCTGATGTAGTACTCAATTCCACGATCCTAGGATCATGACCTGAGCTGAAGGCAGATGCTTAACCGACTGAGGCACCCAGGCACTCTGAACATGACTTTATAACAAGAAAGACACATGCTGATTTTGTACACACCACGTGTGAGTTACTATCCTAAGCACTTGCAAGCACTGTCTTAGGAAATTTTCCCTGTATATTAAGGTCGTCTTGTTAGCACCCCTGTGGGAAGAAGCTGAGCCATTGCGAGGTTAAAAGAGTTGCCCAGAGCCTCAGAGCTCATGGGCCTGGGCTTGTCCTTCTCTTCCAGCCTGGGTCCTGGTTGTCCTTCAAGTCCTGGACCCTGTGTAGCCTCATCCAAGAAGACTTTCTGATTCCCTCCCTATCTCCAAGGGGGAACTTGGACCCTTCTCTGGTCTCCAGAACCAGAATTTCTCAAGGTCTCTGCCATACTGGGTTGTCACCCCGAGGTGCCCAATTATCCGCCATAGTGGACCCCAGGGTTCATGAGCACCAGGCCTGTCTTTGCCTGTGATCTGAGTCTTTGATCTCTAGCACCACGCCTGGCACGTAGTTGCTGTGAGTGACTTCCACATGTGGACTGGATCTCATATACTCTCTGTTCCTTTATGGTACAGGTGGCAGTAGAAGTGTTCCTGATGGTTCTCAGGTGCTGACGACTCCTACTATTTTTACTCTGGACACAGCTCTTTTCTTACTTTGGATTTAAACTGATACATTTAAATTAAATAAATTTAATTGCTGAACTGTCAAGACCAGTGTGTTCCCTTGAGTCAGCATCCCTATGTGTCATCAGCAGTGGTTAGGCCCAGGGTTTAACAGAGGTACTTGGACGGATGGAGTCAACATTCTGATACTCCACAGCATCATCTCTCAAAGCAAATTCTTGGCTTTCTTTATAAATGTAGTTCAGCATTTGGGGAATGATAGACACAAGTGAGTGGGTTTGGGTATTAAAACAGAAGGTTTTGAATAGGACAAAGAGAAGTGCTCTTTTCTGGGGGAGCAGGATTGGTTCCCACAGTGAGGGAGCAGGACCTCCCTCCCCACCTTATCATCTAACTTTTATATTTAATTAGTTTGAAAATTTTAATTATGAAACAAAGTAGATATTTAGTCATGTTTGCCTCTGGTCTGTTTCTCTCAAATCCCACCATCCCCTGCCTTCTCTTTGGTATGAATGTGGTTCTTGTCCTGTGTTTGGCCTTCATCGTTCCTGCTCATGTTTTTTCCATAAATAGATCCATATATCTATATAGCTATAAATCATATAACTTGTTTGGGATATTTAAAAATATCATATAAATAAATAAATGGTATTATGATACATCCTTGTTGCAAGTTACCTTTTTTTTTTTTTTTAAGATTTATTTTAGAGAGACTGTGTGTGTGAATGGGGGTAGGAGCAGAGGGAGAGGGAGAGACTCTCCAGCAGACTTCCCCCTGAGGGCAGAGCCCAGCATATGGCTTAATCCCACGACCTGGAGATCATGACCTGAGCTGAAATCAAGAGCTGGACCCTTAACCATCTGAGCCACCCAGGATCCCCAGCAAGTTATTTTATAAAGATTTGAGATTTGCCCTGTTGAGGCATGTGGCTGCCACGTAGTATCCACTGAGGAATTAATTAAAGCAGAGTTTATGCATTCATCCCCCCAGTGAGGGACGGATTGTATCCAGTTTTTCTGTTATAAACATTGACAGAATGAACACCCTTGAACATTCCTTTTGTGTAAAAGTTTTTGAGTAGATTCTCCAAGGTTGAATTCCAGAGTTGTAGGGTTTATTCAAGCACCACGATGCCCTCCAAAGTGGTTAAACCAATTTGCCTTCTCCCCCATTTTATAGTCCTGTAAGCCCACATTTCCCCACCCTGGTGTTCTCAGATCTTTTCATTCTTGCCAAATCGCAGAGCTTACAGTGGCATCTCTGCTATTTAATTTTGCATTTCCCTCTCTACTTATGGGGTTGGCCACTTTCCTCCATGTTTCCGGGCTAGTCCTGCTCCTCATATTTCTGGTTACATTGATCTCGATGACTTTTTAGACAGAGTAACCTTGGTCTTAGACAGATGAGACCTCCATCTCTCATAATTGTTTGCATTTCTCTTTCAGATGGCAAGTTTGGTACCTACATGCAAGTCCACATTCAGAATGATGGACCTGTGACCATAGAATTGGAGTCCCCGGCTCCTGGCACTGCTACCTCTGACCCAAAGCAGGTAAGTCTGGACTTTCTTGGGGTCTGTCTTCTGGCTTTTGGCTTTGATTGAGTCCCTGGAGCAGTTATTAGTTTGAGGTGGAGATAAGACTACATTGTGGTAACTTAACATCTATTTTAATATATCCATTTCGAAGAATGCATCTGTTTACACTGCATCCCGTTGGTGCAGTGGTTGGCTGGACAGCGCTTCTCCCTTGCCTCTTTCCCTGCTGCGAGGTGCCTTGGTGCACACACGCCGCTGGGTGGCAGCAGAGTAGCGGCACAACTCCACTGAGCCCTGGCCTGGCGTCTTAACCAGTTGAGAATGGTTACCTGGGGTGGGTTTTGTCCTAGGTGTGGGTACGTGTGCTACCTGAAGTTCTTTGTAAATCCTTATTTTTCTAAAGCACTGTCTGACCTGGATTTGCTGTAGAGAGATCCTGGATCTCTCTAAGCTTTGAGGAAAATTTTAATTAAAAGAGAGAAAGGTATCTGTGATAGTCCTTGTAACTTGTATGGTTCTTATAGATGCTTAACACTTGAGGCATTAATTATTGTGCCCACTTAATAGCCTTCGAGACACATGGGAGCAAGCAGAGGAGTGAGAACCAAAGGGATATTTCTGTTCTTCCTTCTCCACCTCCTTCCCTCCATTCCTAGGATGCTGTGAAGTGGAATGATGCAGCAGGCAGGAGAAGTATTATATAAATACCAAGTCTGTATGACCTGTTCAAAGTCGTAATGTTTCTTTCATTGATATTTATTGAATAAAATACTCCTGAGATATTCTTTTCACAAGAATAGAGTAAGAGGGACGCCTGAGTGGCTCAGCGGTTGAGCATCTGCCTTTGGCTTGGGACATGATCCTGGGATCCAGGATTGAGTCTCATGTAGGGCTCCCTGCATGGAGCCTGCTTCTCCCTCTGCCTGTGTCTCTGCGCCTCCCCCCCCCCCATGAATAAATAAATAAAATCTTAAAAAAAAAACAAAACCAAAACCAAGAATAGAGTAGGAGAAGATAGCAGAGCCCATAGTCTGAATCTTTATGGATAATGCCTGATTATCTAAATAGTCCCCTGTCCAGCCACGGGGACCGAGGACTCTGGTTGCTTCATGCATGTGCTACTGGGGAACCTTTTGTAAAGACATGATTGTGACAGCCAGTGGGACAGAGTATTAAGGCTCTATCAGCCTTACAAACAGTTTCTGTGAATTATTTTGTGCCCGCTTGCTTATAAATTCTTATCTCCCTTTCATTCGGGGAATATAAAAAATAGTGAAAGGGAATAAAGATGAAAGGAGAGAAAATGAGTGGGAAATATCAGTGAGGGTGACAGAACCTGAGAGACTCCTAAATCTGGGAAACGAACAAGGGGTGGTGGAAAGGGTGGTGGGCGGGGGCATGGAGTGACTGGGTGACAGGCACTGAGGGGGGCACTTGATGGGATGAACACTGGGTGTTATGCTATATGTTGGCAAATCGAACTCCAATAAAAAATATACAAAAATAAATAAATAAATTCTTACCTCCTATGTGAAGATCTGCCTGTATGGCTGAAATTGGTCTAAGACTTGCCATCAGTATAACCTGATACCAGTCTAGAGGAGGATAGCCAACTCTCATCCACTTTGAGTCCTTACTGTTATCAACGAGAGGAACCTACCAGTTATGCAAAAACAGACTGGTTTAGGTTAGTTCAGAGCTTGCAGTTGATGGTTCTCTCCAATGCAGAAAGCTAAAACGAAACTCCTGCCATCCCACCTCTGGCACATTCCTTTTGTTTTCTTTTTTCCTAAATTCATGGGACTACCATTTACCTTTTCAGGCGGGCCCAAATCTGGCATCATCCTACTTTCATTCCTGCCTCTCCCAGTACAATTTCCTATATGCTGATACTGCTGTAAGGTGTGGTGGTTGTTTTTTTTAAATGTAGTAAGTAATTTAATCTTTATCATAGGGTGATGTGGGAATGGAGGTACCAAACTTAAGCAGTTACTTAAGGTCACAGAGCTGCTGAGAGAGGCAGAACCAAGATGCAAACCCAGTTTTCAAAATCAGGAGGCAAAAAATGATTGCCTAAAATCTGAGGTTGCTGATGTTGTTGTGTGTGTGTTTTTAAAAGATTTTATGTATTAGAGAGAGAGAGACAGAGCATGAGCATGAGCATGAGCAGGGGGAAACGTAGAGGGAGAGGGAGAAGCAGACTTCCCACTGCACAGGGAGTCTGACATGGGACTCCATCCCAGGACCCTGAGATCATGAGCTGAGCTGAAGGCAGACGCTTAATGAGCCACCCAGGCGCCCGTTGACATTGTTTTTGAAGAGAAATCTAATAGTCTCTGAATGTTTGCCACTTCCTAGCCTTTTTTGGAGAATGTCTGTGGTTCCTTTGCATTGGGGCCTGTGGTTTATTTTTATTTTTTAAATTTTTATTCAATTTACTGAAACTACAAAAATAAGCAGCGTGGGTGATTTTTGTTTGTTTAACTGTTCCCCCTCCCATAGTTCCAAGTTATAATTTTTAAGGGGAACATAACCTTTCTTTCTTGTTGCTGAATCTTTGGATTGTTAGAGAAACAGGGACATGTCTGACATAGTAGTACTAGTGCTGGACTTCAAAGGTGATAATTGAAGTTCCTGGAGTTACTGATTACATGAAAGAAAATCATGATTGAAAAATCCACGTGGAAGTTTAAACTTTTTATTTTGAAATATTGGAGACTTGAAGAAAGAAAAGTTATAGAGTCCACAGTTCCCTTGTATGCTTTACCCAGCTCCCACTAATTTACTGTCTTCACAATCCTAGTACACTGATAAAACACCGAGATTAATACTGATAAAATGCTGTTAATTGATGGAGGGAATGTTGGGGTTCGGAGCCGATGGCCAAGGAAGAATTCTTGAGACAACTTTGGTGCAAAAAGGTGGTTTTATTAGAGCACCAAGACAAGACCCGTGGGCGGAAAGAGCTGCCCTGCAGTTGTGAGGAACAATTGATTATATACTTTCAAGTTGGGGGGGGCGAGCGGTTAGCGAGAGCGTAAATCTCTAACGAATTTTGGAAGCAAGGCTTCCAGGACCCTGAAGGGGTTAGGAGCTATTGTTAGGAAAAGGTCATTACTAACTAGTAAAACCCTAGTCATGAGACCCTTCAGATGTTTATCAGTGGGCCATATGGTTGGAAGATGATTGCTAACATAGATCTTGGGGGTAGAGATAAAGGAAATTGGGATCCCTGGGTGGCGCAGCGGTTTGGCGCCTGCCTTTGGCTCAGGGCGCGATCCTGGAGACCCGGGATCGAATCCCACGTCAGGCTCCCGGTGCATGGAGCCTGCTTCTCCCTCTGCCTGTGTCTCTGCCTCTCTCTCTCTCTCTCTGTATGACTATCGTAAAAAAAAAAAAAAAAAAAAAAAGATAAAGGAAATTTCCAAAGGAATTTTTATATGTTAAGGAAGACTTACATGATCCTGGGGTATTGGGATGATGTTGAACTAAGATTGCCTGTTGCCCTTAGCAAAGTATTAATATTGAGGCAGCTGACTTCCTAAAGGAATGTCATTCTGCCTGTTTCAGGGACTTGTCAGGGGGCTGTAAATAGTAAGGAGATTTAATTTTGTTTTGCCTTTGTTTCTTGCATCATTAACTATACTACAAACTTTATTCAAATTTTACTGTTTTTTTTTTTTCTAATGTCCTTTTTCTATTTCAGGGTAATCCCACATATAATAATTGTTATGTCTCTTTAATCTGTGACTGCTCCTCAGTCTTTTTTTTTTTTTATTTTTTTATTTACTTATGATAGTCACAGAGAGAGAGGCAGAGACACAGGCAGAGGGAGAAGCAGGCTCCATGCACCGGGAGCCCGATGAGGGATTCGATCCCGGGTCTCCAGGATCGCGCCCCGGGCCAAAGACAGGCGCCAAACTGCTGAGCCACCCAGGGATCCCTGCTCCTCAGTCTTTCCTCATTTTTCATGACCTTGACAATTTTCACAAGTACTGGTATGCTCTTTTGTTGAAGATTCCTCAGTTTGGGCTCTCTGATTACATTGAGGTTATGCATTTGACAGGAATAGCAAATAGCACAAAAGTGAGGTGACTTTCTCAGTGTATCATAAGGAAGTACATGAGACTAATCTGTCTTATTATAGGTGATATTAACCTCAATCCCTTTGTAAAGATGAAGTTGACCAAATTTCCATATATCCATATATTATTATGGATGTTGTTATATTATTAATAATAATTATATTATTATCCATAATATTAACCTTTCCCCTTCATCTCATCTGCTCTCTTGTTTGCTCATAACAGATGCGTCTTTCTGCTTCACAAAGAAGCCATCAGATGGCATTGACCCTTCTCCACCTCTCTCCAACTATGTAGGTAGCAGAGCTGCCCTTCCTGTGCTGAGACCAGTGTCTTCCCTGGGCCAAGACTGGCTCTATAATTTGTGGGGCCCAGTGCAAAATGAAAACAAGGGGCCCCTTTTTGAAAAAGCGTAATAAGGAATTTCAGGATGATAACACAGAACTTTAAGCCAATGGTGAGCCCTTCTATGTGCAAGGCCCCATGAGCCTGCATCTGGTGGAGCCAAACTAGCCTGGGCTGTGGTGCCCTCCCCAGCCTCTGCTTCTGCCTTTCTGCAGCCTCCATTAAACCCTTTGTCCTCTTGACAAGTCAGTCTGTCTCTCTCAGTCATCTGTTTAATTCCCGTGGCTTTTAACTATTCCCCAGCATTTCCAGTTGAGAAACACCTCCATTTTTTTTTTCCACCACCAGCATCCCCTTTAATAAAATGTGGAAGGTTGCGTGACAGGGAAAGTGGAGGAGGGAGTGAAATATGACCATTTACAACCACAAAAAACTTCTGTACATGTCTGGCGCCCGGCAGAGGGGAGGGCAGACAGGGCAGCAGGAGGCCAGGGCCAGCCCTATTTGTAGAGGATATCGTAGTGTCCAGGCCGGTAGAGAAGGTACACCTTGGGCTCAGAGCCCTCGGGGAAGATGTGCGGGTTGGTGGTGCCGCCCTCGCCGCGGTCCATGTACTCCACCTGGATGGAGACGCTCAGAGCCTGGGCCAGTGCGATGATGTGAATGTGGTCGCTCTCCTTGCACATGGGCTCCACCTCCTGCTGGCAGAACTCCTTGACTGTCCGCCCGCCCTCGATGAAGTGCTCGAAGAACTTGCTCTCGCGCTGCAGGTAGCTGGAGGTGAGCAGCCGCAGGTACACCACCAGGTAGTCCGAGGTGCTCTGGTCGTTGAAGGAGGCCAGCAGGTCAGCTACAGAGGTCTGCTTCTCCACCTGCTCGATCAGGTCCATGAACGTGTTGTGGAAATCCTCGATTGTGAATTCAGTGAAGCCCTGGGACACCTGCAGAGGCGCCCGCTGTGGCCCCTGAGCTCTATGCTGCCTGATTTCAGGGCTGGCAGGCCCTGCTGATCTGCTGACTGAGCAGCATCTGCCGCTGCTGCACGCCTGCCCCTGGATGAGGTCTGGAGTCTTGTTTTCTGGGACACCTTTCTCTCCTCATTTCCCTCTTGCCTCTGGCTCTTCTCTCTGGTTTGATTTGATTGCTGTTTTGTGGTTCTGATTTATTATTCTGCTTTAACTATATTTGGGAAAAAATTTTAGTCAAGTTTTTGTTTTCATTCCAAATCTCTTTCTAAGAAGTGATAGAATAATAATACAGGGAGGGAGGGGCAAGATGGCGGAAGAGCAGGGTCCCCAAATCGCCTGTCCCCACCAAATTACCTAGATAACCTTCAAACAATCCTGAAAATTTACGAATTCGGCCTGAGATGTAAAGAGAGACCAGCTGGAATGCTACAGTGAGAAGAGTCCGCGCTTCTATCAAGGTAGGAAGACGGGGGGGAAAAAGAAATAAAGGAACAAAAGGCCTCCGAGGGGGAGGGGCCCCGCGAGGAGCCGGGCTGAGGCCGGGGCGAGTGTCCCCAGGACAGGAGAGCCCCGTCCCGGAGGAGCAGGAGCTGCACCAACCTTCCCGGGCGGGCGGAAAGGGGCGGGCGGAAAGGGGCTCGCAGGGAGTTGGAGCAGGACCCAGGAGGGCGGGGATGCCCTCGGACTCCCGGGGACACTAACAGACACCTGCGAGCGCAGGAGAGTTGGCGAGCGCGCACGGAGGGACCAACCGGAGCAGCTCGGAGGGGCTCGGGAGCAGCTCCAGGGAGGGAGCTGCAGGGCGGGAGCACGAATCGAACAGCGCAGGCCCCGGAGCACAGGGCGACGGGACACAGCCCAGGATCCGGCCTCCCCCGGGACAGGCAGAGGCCGGGAGGGCCCAAGACAGCAAGGACGCTCCTGCCCCGAGCTGAGCAGATCAGCGGCCCCGCCCCGGAGCCTCCAGGCCCTGCAGACGGAGAACCGAGAGCCCCGAGCCCCGTAGTTCCTGCGGAGGCTAAATCCAGGCTTCCAGAGTTGCCATAGCAACTGCTGCTGTTCCTCCTGGGGCCCCACGGGGGTAAACAACCCCCGCTGAGCCCGGCAGCAGGCAGGGGCAGAGCAGCTCCCCCAAGTGCTAACATCTGAAAATCAGCACAGCAGGCCCCTCCCCCAGAAGACCAGCTGGACGGACCAGTGATACTCCCCCGGGTTCCAATACAACTTGTTTTTGGCCACTCTGCACTGAGCAAAATGACTAGAAGGAAAACCTCACCTCAAAAGAAAGAATCAGAAACAGCCCTCTCTCCCACAGAGTTACAAAATCTGGATTACACTTCAATGTCAGAAAGCCAATTCAGAAGCACTATTCTACAGCTACTGGTGGCTCTAGAAAAAAGCATTAAAGACTCACGAGACTTCATGACTGCAGAATTCAGATCCAATCAGGCAGAAATTAAAAATCAATTGAATGAGATGCAATCCAAACTAGAAGTCCTAACGACGAGGGTTAACGAGGTGGAAGAACGAGTGAGTGACATAGAAGACAAGTTAATGGCAAAGAGGGAAACTGAGGGAAAAAGAGACAATCAATTAAGGGACCATGAAGACAGATTAAGGCAAATAAATGACAGTCTAAGGAAGAAAAACCTACGTTTAATTGGGGTTCCCGAGGGCGCCGAAAGGGACAGAGGGCCAGAATATGTATTTGAACAAATCCTAGCTGAAAACTTTCCCAATCTGGGAAGGGAAACAGGCATTCAGATCCAGGAAATAGAGAGATCCCCCTCTAAAATCAATAAAAACCGTTCAACACCTCGACATTTAATAGTGAAGCTTGCAAATTCCAAAGATAAAGAGAAGATCCTTAAAGCAGCAAGAGACAAGAAATCCCTGACTTTTATGGGGAGGAGTATTAGGGTAACAGCAGACCTCTCCACAGAGACCTGGCAGGCCAGAAAGGGCTGGCAGGATATATTCAGGGTCCTAAATGAGAAGAACATGCAACCAAGAATACTTTATCCAGCAAGGCTCTCATTCAAAATGGAAGGAGAGATAAAGAGCTTCCAAGACAGGCAGGAACTGAAAGAATATGTGACCTCCAAACCAGCTCTGCAAGAAATTTTAAGGGGGACTCTTAAAACTCCCCTTTAAGAAGAAGTTCAGTGGAACAATCCACAAAAACAAGGACTAAATAGATATCATGATGACACTAAACTCATATCTGTCAATAGTAACTCTGAACGTGAATGGGCTTAATGACCCCATCAAAAGGCGCAGGGTTTCAGACTGGATAAAAAAGCAGGACCCATCTATTTGCTGTCTACAAGAGACTCATTTTAGACAGAAGGACACCTACAACCTGAAAATAAAAGGTTGGAGAACCATTTACCATTCAAATGGTTCTCAAAATATACCCTAAAAACTATAGAACACTTCTGAAAGAAATTGAGGAAGACACAAAGAGATGGAAAAATATTCCATGCTCATGGATTGGCAGAATTAATATTGTGAAAATGTCAATGTTACCCAGGGCAATTTACACGTATAATGCAATCCCTATCAAAATACCATGGACTTTCTTCAGAGACTTAGAACAAATTATTTTAAGATTTGTGTGGAATCAGAAAAGACCCCAAACAGCCAGGGGAATTTTAAAAAAGAAAACCATATCTGGGGGCATCACAATGCCAGATTTCAGGTTGTACTACAAAGCTGTGTTCATCAAGACAGTGTGGTACTGGCACAAAAACAGACATATAGATCAATGGAACAGAACAGAGAACCCAGAAGTGGACCCTGAACTTTATGGTCAACTAATATACGATAAAGGAGGAAAGACGATCCACTGGAAGAAAGACACTCTCTTCAATAAATGGTGCTGGGAAAATTGGACATCCACATGCAGAAGAATGAAACTGGACCACTCTCTTGCACCATACACAAAGATAAACTCAAAATAGATGAAAGATCTAAATGTGAGACAAGATTCCATCAAAATCCCAGAGGAGAACTCAGGCAACACCCTTTTTGAACTTGGCCATAGTAACCGGAGAAGGACAAACAGTGTATGTTCTCATTCATTTGGGGAATATGAATAATAGTGAAAGGGAATATAAGGGAAGGGAGAAGAAATGTGTGAGAAATATCAGAAAGGGAGACAGAACATAAAGACTTCTAACTCTGGGAAATGAACTAGGGGTGGTGGAGGGGGAGGAGGGCGGGGGGTGGGGGTGAATGGGTGACGGGCACTGAGGGGTACACTTGACGGGATGAGCACTGGGTGTTATTCTGTATGTTGGTAAATTGAACACCAATAAAAATTAATTTATAAAATAAAAAAATAATAATACAGTGTTAATACAGAGGATCTTTAGGATACAGTGTTAATACAGAGGATAATAATACAGTGTTAATACAGAGGATCTTTAGGATCCTCAATCTGTGTTTTTAAAGATTTTATTTATTCATGAGAGACACATAGAGAGAGGCAGAGACCTAGGCAGAGGGAGAAGCAGGCTCCCTGCGGGAAGCCCCATGTGGGTCTCAATCCCAGGACTCTGGGATCACGACCTGAGCCAAAGGCAGATGCTCAGCCACTGAGCCACCCAGGTGTCCCTAAGATCCTCAATCTTATTTCAATTAGTACCTCTTTTCTTTATAACATAAAGACATACAAGCATAATTTTTTTAAACATCTAATGAGACATGCTAACTTATCGGAGTAAGAAAGTCTTTTTTTATTTTATTTTTTTAAATTTGTACTTTTAAGTAATCTCTATACCCAGTGTGGAGCTTGAGCTCACAACCCCGAGATCAAGAGTTATATGCTCCACTGACTGAGCCAGCTAGGGGTCCCCAAAGAGTCTTTTATTTCAGTTATTTCTGAGTCTTTCTTTTAGGAGCTCTCTGTTCAAATCCATGATTTGCACTGTATGAGTTTAATTTTTTTACTAGTTAACTGGCGCTGGAGTCTCAGACACTGCAACAGTGTACAGATCTGTGTCCTCTTGCTCTCCAGTAGATGGCGACAAGTAGGCATGGAGGGCCCTGGTGATGGTGGGGGGCCAGCCTTTGCCTCTGTGATCTGTCTCTGCCTTTCCATTCTCAGGAGGAAGGGGGTTCCTCTTTGGGCAAATAGCTAATTTGCTTGCTTTTGTATTGGTAGGAAGACAGCAGCCAAATTCTTCTCACTGATAGATAAGCAGGCCTTTCTGTCAATTGAGCTTTTAATTGTTTTCTTTTCTCAATATAACCCAACTAATAGTGAAAACTGCATACATTGTAGAGAAGTGGTTATTTTGGCAAGTTTTAAAATACAGGTTCTTTAAACCATCTGAACAAATGTGCTGTGTGTGTGTGTGTATGTGTGTGTATTTATGCATCAAGTGTTTTTTTAGTACATGGTACTGTACTGGGCACCTGAGGAAGAGAAAGAAGTGCTGTGAGCCAGTCCTTGCTCCCAGGGGTAGATCTGAGGCAGCATAAACCTGGAAGGTTAATAGCAGTGAGACAGGTAAAGAGTAGTATCCGACAGCTTAGGACGTGTCACAAGACCATGGCGTCCTGTTCCTCTTTAAGACCCTTCAGTGCCTTCCAGATGCACTTAGATTATAGTCTAAGTTCCCTTTTGTCATGCCTAAATGCCTGATGCCCAGGCTTCTGTGGCTCTGTCTGCCCCGCTCGCAGTCCTTTGTTCCTCGGTCCCTACACTTTACCTGCTGTCACTTCCTCTCTATTCTGAGAACAGACTGAGCTCCTTCCTACCTCTGGCTCTTGTCTCAGTGTCTTTGTTTCCTACTCAGAAGGGATCCTCTTACCACTGTCAGTCCTGAGTAAGCCCCTTCCAGCTACTCTGCCCCCCTACTCTGATGATGAATTTCATAGCACTTGGCCGTCAATTATTATCTGCTTATTTCCTTGTTCTTCATCTGTTCTCCCCACTCCTAAAACTCAAGCTACCTTAGTCTTATTCACTGCCCTGTCCCAGGAGGGAGGCTGGGGTGTGTAGTTTGTTTTGGACTCGTGTGTCATGGGCTGGTGAGCTGTGCTGTCTGTGAATGTCCTGGGTTCCAAGAAGGCTGATGTCCCCGCTGATGTGGTCAAGCCTCCCAGGGGATTGGAGGTTTTCACTGACCTTTAAGGATGCGGAAGGAAGGAGGCATTCTCGATTGTTGTTTCCAGATTTGCACTGCAGTTAGGGGTACATTCTTATTTTTACAAATCCCAGAGTTCTGCTCTGGGTCATGCCCCTATTTACTGCTAGTGAAGTCTGGGCTGGTAAAGGTGACTAGTGGTTTGCCTATCTTTAGCAGATCTCTGCTTGTTTTTGGAACTGGCCCTGCAGCCTCTGCATGCTTTCCTGTGGCTGCATCAGTAGCATGCCCCATGCATTTATAGGCTGCCATGTGGGTCCCATGATGTGTTCTGACATTGAGAAGTCGGAACAAGAGCATGATGTGCTTGCTCTGAAAGATGTATTTCCAAAGGGAACAGGGCATGGAAGCAGTACCAGCACTACCAGACAGAAACTATCTTTCCCCTGTTGCATTCTTGCGAAGGGACACGATTCTGGGAAGAACATGCTGATGATTACCTAGACAAGATTTCTAGTGCATGAGTTCATTTGTGGGTGGCTAGATATTGGGAGATTTCAATACCCTACTTAGCCATTCCTGATGATAGGAATTTGTTCCTGCTCTTGTTTTAATTTAAATATCCTTCCCCTTAAGTAGGGGATGTTAGCCTGGGGCTCACATAGAGGGAGTTGCATGTGTGTGTGAGGAGGTGGGGAGGTGCATTTTGTAATGAGGGGCTCTTCCCTCAGGCCTGGAGCCCATGTAGTTCATAGTGTTGCCGTTAATTATTTATATTCTCATTTATTTAGTGTGATTGAAACTCTCAGTTAATGGAAAGGCTAGAAGGAGCTGAAAAAATGAGCTTTCAAATACACATCTTTGAATTAGCCCCCGTGTTTATTGACACATCGCTGGGGTAAGTTGACCAGTGAAAAACGGTGCCAGAGCTTTTAATTTTATGCTTATCTGAGTATTACCATCACTTCACCTATAACTTTCTCCCCAGACTTGTCTTACAGGCAAGGATCCATTCTGGTGCCTGGAAACCTTAGAATGCCTGGATTGAGACATTTACGGCTTCTGCAGGATCAGAAAGAAATATATAGGTTAGACAGGTGGGTGGGGAAAAGAGCTCCATTTGGTTTTATTTATTTGTACTTCCAGAGACAGGGTAGCCTTTTTAGTAATACATGCTCTGGAATCCAGAAGGTGAAACAGAGGACAGACGAAGGATACAGGTGGCACCCCGTCACGGGTGCACAGAGGTGGGCTCTTCATTCCTGCATGTTCCAGTTTGAGGTTCAACTCTGATGAGAATTATTCTCATTATAAGGAGGAATTATGTTGATTCCCATAAGTTTGCATTTTTTTCATAGAAGTACATTTATGTACAGTAGGTCTTTCCTTTTCTATTTTTTTTTTTAAGGCTCGAACTTAGATGCGAGTTCCCTATCTCTGTTGGTTTCATCTCGGTTTTTGCACGACCTAAGCCAGGCTCGTGTTGTTGACTTGCCACAAGAATGTGACTCCAAGTCTGGTTGCCAAAATAGTACCCCAGTCCTATCCTTTATTCCAGGCATTAGTTCGTTTTGTCATGTTGATTTATCAAACAAATGTTGAGAGTCCTATTTTGTTTATACTGAAGTGTTAACTAAAACAGAAGCAGAAGCATACCAAGAGCATCTTCATTAGAGGTTTTGTTGTTGCTGTTGTTCATTGTTGTCATGGTATCGTGGTGGGAGTGCTGATGATCCTGAGTCCTGGTGATCCTGAGTCCTGAGACTTTGCCTCCCACATGGGGAAGGCTTCCCAACAGGACAGGGCTGGTACTTGGCCAGATCTCTTCGGCTGCAGAAATCACCTTTGTTTTTCTTTCAGTGTGAGCACCCACTTTCCTGAGTGAGGAAAGCAGCACAGCTCTCTGGGGAGAGGGCTGAGTGTGGGGGCTGGGTGACGTCTCTCAGCCCTGCCCTCTGCTCACCAGCAGTCACAGTTTCAGCTGAGGCCCGTCTGTGTCTGTGGGGGGCGCTGTGCCCAGGGCATGCAGACCTGGCTGGTTGGAAAGGCTGGCAGCTCGGAGATGTTTCCAAACAGGCTGGCTTCTTCCTAGTTGGGGGAGCTGCAAGTGATTGCTTTTGTATTATTTTAATTTATTTCCATATAGACGATTGTCCTAAGTTGGTACACTATAGAATTAAAAAAGAGGCCTTTCCAAGAGATATATGACTGTGTCTCTGCTTGGGGGCCCATTGATTTATCAACTGACCTTCATCTTACCTTCTTCTTTTTTTTTTTCTCATCCTACCTTCTTAAATCCATAACGTGTTACTGAAATTGCAAAAATTGAAAAGAGTTTGGTTCCCTCCTATTGAAATATGGCTGGTAAATTAAAAACAGTCATCCTCTCTACCTTTGACACAGAAAACATTTGTAATCTTCAACTAGATTAAACAACTTTCTCAGGGCACTAATGGGTTAGTGCATTTAAAGTTTAGGGGCTTTGTTCCTGTATAAGTATTTTGGGTAAATTCTTTTTTATTTTGATTTTTTTTAAACATTTTATTTATTTATTCATGAGAGACACACACACACACACACACAGAGGCAGAGACATAGGCAGAGGGAGAAGCAGGCTCCATGCAGGAAGCCTGACGTGGGCCTCGATCCCAGGTCTCCAGGGATCATGCCCTGGGCTGAAAGTGGTGCTAAACCGCTGAGCTACCAGGGCTGCCCTACTTTAATCTTTTAAAAAAATGTTATATTTATTTATTCATGAGAGACAGAAAGAGAGAGAGAGAGGCAGAGACACAGGGAGCGGGAGAAACAGGCTCCCCTCAGGGAGCCTGATGTGGGACTTGATCCTGGACACTGGGATCATGCCCTGAGCTGAAGGTAGACACTCAAATGCTGAGCGACCCAGGTTTCCCGTTATTTTAATCTTCTAATCTTATTGGTGGTTGTGTTAAAAACACGAATTCCTAGGGGTGCCTGGGTTCCATTTTAATACCCTGAGATCATGACCTGAGCTAAAATCAAGAGTTAGACACTTAACCGACTGAGCCACCCAGGCGCCCTTAAGCTTCTTTTTTTTTTTTTTATTCCCAAGGGATGGAGGTGAAGTTTATCCTTCCATGGATTTATGCTTTGAGCACAGCAATATTTTATACAGACTCAAGATTTTAACTGGGACTGGTAGTTGTGTTCCTCCAAGGGCTGTATGAGATCACAGGCTTTAAGCTGCAGAGGGTGCATATGAAAATGCAGAATCTTCTCACTTTTCCCCCCACCCCTGGTTTTCTCAACCAGATTACCTGGCATGTCGAGGAAAGGCAGAAGAGTAGCAGATTTAAGTGTTTAACTAGTTCTTTATGTGTTCTTTGTACACCGACATTTGAGAACTACTGGACCAGAGAAAATTGAACATTGCCATTTTTTAAAAAGGTTTTATTTATTTATTCATGAGAGACACACAAAGGCAGAGACATAGGCAGAGGGAGAAGCAGGCTGCCTGTGGGGAGCCCAATGTGGAACTTGATCTCAGGACCCCGGGATCACAACCTGAGCCAAAGGCAGATGCTCAACCACTGAGCCACCCAAGCATTCCAAATACTGACATTTTTATCTGCTCTAGGCATTGGTTTCTCTAGACCACCCTGCTCCCACTCCCCACCCTCCCAGCTGTGATGTCTATGAATACTTCAGAACCTGTGTTACTGCAGCTGCCAGTAAGCATGATGGCTGGGCTTGATTATTTAGGTTACATATGAAGCTGTCCTTATTCATCAGTACCCCCCTCAGCTCCTCACCCCTCACCCCCATACACACTGAAGTGATGAAAATATTCCCAGAACATGGTGCCTTCCTGACACAGTTGTAGATGTGTCAGGGAAAAGCCGATAGCACAACAGCTCAACATATTAGTGACTGAGGATGGACCCCTCTGCAGAACAACATTGAGGCATAGACAATTAGAATACTTGGTTTCCAAAAAAAAAAAAAAAGAATACTTGGTTTCCTTTTTTTGTTTTTTTAAAGACTTTATTTATTTGAGAGAGAAAGAGGGCGAGAGAGCATATGTGAGTGGGGAGAGGGGCAGAGGGAGAGAGAGAATCTCCAGCAGACTCTGCATCGAGTACAGAGCCTGACATGGGGCTCAATCTCAGGACTCTGAGATCATGACTTGAGATGAAATCAAAAGCCAGATGCTCAACCAACTGAGCCACTCAGGTGTGTTGGAATAGCTTGTTTCTTAAGAGAGATGAACTCAATGTGTGGCTTGCCCAGTGGCTAGGGGAGATTGCAGTGGCATACTATCTTGAGATTTTTGGTTTGAAAAACAATGCATAGTTCTCTTGTTTTTTTTGGGTACCAGACCAGACATGCTTTATTCATTGGTCGATTTATTTCTGGGACTTGAATAAAAACCCAGGGTGATCATCACCCAGCCTTGGCTAGGAGAATTGCAATATAACGGGATGCATGAATGTTGAGGCTTTGTGGGCAGTTGGCTAATCATTTGCTTTTAAAACACAGGGGACGTTGTTAGGGGTTTACATTTTATGGTGTATTAGTTATTAAGTTCATGGTAAAAGCTTTTCACATTAAATTGTAGGACTAGTTTCCTGCAGATTGTTTACTGGTTTTTGATTGTTATTTTTTTCTCCTTGTCTTCCTCGTCATCCAGTTGAAAAGAACTCGTTCCCTGTCTCCACCTGGTGCTGTGCCCCCCAGACCCCATCTTTTAAGGTCCATTTCACATAGTATTTCATTTATGATACTTACCTCAGGGCTCACCCAGGCGGGCTCTTCCTGCCTTTGAATCCTTCATTGCATGGTGTGGCACTGGCTGTGTAGTGGTTGATGCTTTTATTAATGGCCCATCCTTATTTTTTCTTAGTTTGTTTGCTTGTTCATTTACCCACCTCTGCATCCACCATGTTTCCATCCATCCATCTACCTATCCAACCATCCACTCACCTGCCCACCACCCTTCTATCTGTGTGTGTAACAGATGCTGATCAGGTGCCTGCTCTGTGCTGGCCTTTCGTATAAGTACAGCACTGAGCCAACAGCGCGCCCTTATGGAGCTTGCACTGTAGTGCGACACATTCAAAGACAAGCATGATTTAGTCATGTTTATATAAAGAAATAAAAAACAGGGTGAGGTATAGAGAATACTGGTGGAGTGGGGATTACTTTATGAGGGCTGGGGAAGGAGGTAGAGCTGAGAGGGAGCTGAGGTGAAGCTTGGAGGGAGAATGTGTTTGATGGAAGGATCAGCAAGTGCAGAGCCCTGGAGCGATCAGTGGAAGAAAAGCCAGTGTGGCCAGAGCTTGGAAGGTATCAGGGAGAGGGTAGGACAATGAGGGCAGAACTGTGGCCCAGGCCTAGTGGCCAGGGTAGCAAGCCGGATGGTTGTTGTGTGTGTCTGCAGAAGTGGCTGAGCTGGACTATAGGCTGTAACGTAGGCTGCGGAAGGAGCGACAGGGAGAACAGTTAGGAGCTCTTGCAACAGGTCGATGAGAGACATGGAGAGAGTCCGGATGTACTTTGGAGGCTCTTAACTGCTCTGCTGTTCTGCCTCCCACAGTAAGGCTTTTCTATAAATGATTGACGTTTGAATTCTTTTATACCAGGATTTGAACGATGAGAAATATTGTGAAGTCTAACCACCTACAGTTCACTACTAGAAAGACTCCATTCCTGCCTCCAATGCAGGATGGTGAGGGGATTCCATGGCATGAGTTTCTTTGAGTTTCTAGGATGAGATCAGACATTTCGACATCAAGGTGTGTGATGCTCACCCCTGGTTCTATGTGATCCTTGGTCACAGTTTGGACATAAAAGTCAGAACCTCTTTGATGATGTCAAACAACAAAAAATCAAGTTTCAGGGATTTACATCCCCCTCTTCAAGTCAGCATGAAGCCACATGTTTCACTATCAGCCAGCTTTCCCCCAAATGCAAAAAACTTTAATTATAAAAAGAAATTGTAAAAAGCCCAAGAAATGTTTATGTTGAATTTGATTTATATATACCATTTTAACTTGTATCATTAAGGCAGTTTCTAAATCTAAGTGTTCAGTACTTGTCGGAGGAAAAAAAGGATTTATTTTTGGAAAAGTATGTTTCCTGGTGTTCATTGATTTTGGAAATTATGGGAAGTAATTGTCTAAAGGGTGGCCGTGGCTCTAGAGGCGGAGTGGAAATCCAGGGCTGGAAGAGGCCGTTGTGGTTGACTGATGCCTGTGGACCGCTCGCTGGGATCAGGTCAAGAGTTTCATAATCATCACTTTCTACGTGCTTTGTGCCACCATCTTAGTTATTTTTGTCAATACGAAACAAAAAAGAACAGCCCTTTTATGAAGATTCTTCACATTAAATGTATTCCTTTGACTGCTCTTCATAGAAAATGTGAAGTCCATTTCTTTTTCTATTTTTAAGCATGAAAGTGGAGCCTGGAAGCCTCAATTTCTGTGTAATGGAAAGATCTAAGTTTGTGGCCTTGTTTCCATTCTCTACTCCTCCTGCTCAGGCAGGAGCACGATGCCCACAGAACACCTCCAAGCAGTGGCTCTGTTCAGGAATCACAGTGTGGTTCGACTGCAGGAAGGGCAAAAAGGCTGTTATTAGCTGTTGGTGGTGTCATTGTTGGGTCATGAAACCTTCAGGGGATAAGTACAAGTCCTACAAAATTTCATTTCAAAATCTAGACTAGATCTGGCC